CTATCCAGCTCGGTGGTGTTTGCACAAGCAGAACTTCTTCATCTTCCATGCATACAGATGGTTCTGCTAAATGCTCCACTGAAATTAACCTATCTTGCAAAGCTGTTGCCAACCTTGCCAAGGCATCTGCTCTCGATTTTTCGACTCTAGGAACGTGCTTGAACTTAAATTGCACAAACTTTTTGATCAATTCCTGTACCTTTCTAAGGTAGAGACCCATTTTCTCACCTTTAGCCTCGTATGAATCCTCTGTCTGTTTCACGACAAGCTGGGAATCGTTGCTGATCTCCAGCTGCTCTGCCTCCATTGAATGAGCAAGGGTTGAGCCCAACAATGACAGCTTCATATTCTGCCTCATTGTTTGAAGCCTTAAACCCAAACCTGAGGGTGTATTCAATGTCTATTCCATCTGGAGAGGTCAGGATCAATTCTACGCCACTTCCTTGGGCATTGGCAGCTCCGTTTATCGAAAGTTTTCATACGGGAAGGTCAGGTATTAGCAGTATGGCTTCCGCGGGTGTTACTGCAGTGAATTCTGCGATAAAATCTGCCAAAATTTGCCCTTTGATTGCAGTCCTTGGCTTATACCTAATATCAAATTTGCTGAGCTCTATCGCCCACTTAACTAGCCTTCTTGAAGACTTTGATTTATGTAGCACTTGTTTCATTGGCTGATTTATTGGAACCTCGATAGTATGAGCTTGGAAATATGGTCTAAGCCTCCTAGCCGTAAAAACTAGCTTTTCCATCTTTGGATATCTCTCCTCTGCCCCCCTTAGAGCTCTGCTATAGTAGTAAATTGGTTGTTGAGCTTTATCTCGCTCCCTAACTAGTGCTGCGCTGGTTGAAAAATTCGAGACAGCTAAATAAAGAGTAAGCACTTCCCCTTCTAAGGAGCTTACTAGGACAGGGGGAGAGCTTAGGTACTCCTTCAGTGCTTTGCACGCTTCTTTACATGGGGTGTCCCACTAAAAAGCCTTCTTCAAGACTTGAAAAAAAAGTTGGCACTTCACTTGATTTTGATACAAAACGATTCAAGGCGGCTATCCTTCATGTCAGGCGTTGGATCTCCCTGATGTTGGACAGTGGTCGCATATCCAGAACTACCTTAACCTTTTATAGGTTAGCCTCGATTCCTTTGCTATTGACTATGAATCCCAAAAACTTCCCTGCTGATACCCCAAAAGTGCACTTTGTAGGGTTGAGTTTCATCTTATACTCCTTGAAGATTTGGAATGATTCTGCTAGGTGCTCGATGTGCAGCTCTACCTTCAATAATTTTACCAACATGTCGTCGATATAGAACTCCATGGATGTTCCAATTTGCTTCTAGATCATTCTATTCACTAGGCGTTGATAGATGACTCCAGCATTCTTCAATCCAAAAAGCATGACCTGGTAGCAGTAAGTTCCCTGTTCAATCACAAATGAAGTCTTATCCTAGTCCGCTAGGTCCATCCTGATCTGATTATAACCTAAGAAAGTATCCATGAAGCTGAGGAGCTCATGCCCAGCAGTTGCATCCACGATCAAGTCGATTCAAGGTAAGGGAAAGCTGTCATTGGGGCATGCTCGATTGAGATCAGTGAAATCAATGCAGAGCTGTCATTTTCCATTGGTCTTTTTGACTAGCACTACATTTGCAAACCAGGTAGGGTAGTCCACCTCTTTAATGGCTTTGGCGTGGAGAAGTTTACTGACCTCCTCGTTAATTGCCTTCTAGCGTTTTGGAGCAAAACTTCTTCGCTTCTGTTTAACAGGTTTGCAAATGGGATTCATGCTTAGCTTGTGTGTAATGACTGAGGGGTCAATACCTTCCATGTCCTCTTACTTCCAAGTGAACACTTCCATGTTCTTCCTTAGGAACTAGGTGAGTAGGTCTTTCATTTCTTTGCTCAACTTAGATCCCACGTAAACAATATGTTCAGGCTCCTCATCGAGCTGGATTGGCTCTAGCTCTTCTGATGGTATGGGCCTGGTGTCCAGCTCGTCCCTCATGTCAAGCTCATCTAGCTGGATAATTTCAACCTCTTTCTACTTCACAGAGGCCATGTAGCACTCCCTGGCTATTTGTTGGTCTCCTCGGACCATTCCAACTCCATTTTCTGTAGGAAATTTTACGACTAGGTGATATGCTGAGGGGATAGCTTTCATTGCGTTGAAGGATGGTTTCCCAAGTAGTATATTGTACGCAGAAGGGGCGTTAACTACCAGGAATTTCACAGTGGTGGTAGCTTGACAAGGAGGGTCCCCCATAGTGAGCACGAGTTAGATGGATCCTAGGGGTAGCACCCTCTCCCCTGAGAACCCCATCAAATGAGCAGTCACTGGTTCAAGCTTCTCCTTTCCTATGCCCATTTTGTCAAAGGCAGAGGCGAAAATAATGTCGACCGAGCTCCCATTGTCAATTAGAACTCGATGAACAGTTTGGTTAGCCACAAATGGCCCTTACAACCAACAGGTCATCATAGGGATATTGACAGCCTTCCAAGTCTGAATCTGAAAAAGTGATGGTTGTACTCAGCCGAGGTATTTTGGACACGGTGTGTACTTCCAGTGCTTCGCCAGCTTCTGATCCTACGCAAGTGTGCTTTCATGGTTGCACTGGATTCTCCATTGCTAGCAAATCCTCCAAATATCACTCTGATCTCCCCCTAAGGGTTACTGGTGCTACGCAGGGGCTTGTTGCTCGGGTGCCGGTGGTGGTGAAGCCTTGTTCTGGTTGTCATGGGCGATAGATCGTCGTAATTGTCCCCTCTAGATCAAGAACTTGATCTCCTTCTTTAGCTGAATGCAATCGTTGATATGATGACCATGATCCCTATGATACTCACAATATTTCGTAGGGTCTCTTTTAGACAGATTTGTCTTCATTTGTGGAGGCCACCTTAGGAATTTCTCATTCTGCACCTTCTATAGGATCTAGGACACTATCGCAGTGAGAGGGGTATATTGCTAAGGTGCATACCTCGGCTATAGTTCAAGTTGCGGGGGGCCTAAGTGGTCCCTAACGTTCCCCCTTTTTTTGGGGATCACTCTTTGTCTCTTCTGAGAGATCTATCTCTCTTTGGAGATCTATTTCTTTCCCTCTCTCTCCTGGGACTTCGATTCCTCTTTTTCTCTTCCTTTCCCTTGTCTCTATGTACAAAAGAGCTCCCTACCTTAGAAAGAAGAGCTTCTTCGCCGTTTATGTATTTCTCCACTTTGGCAAGCACCTCGGCCATGCTTGCTTGAGGATTTTTTGATATAGAGAACATCAAATCTTTAGACTGCACCCGTAGACCAACTATAAAGGCAGTGATGGCGAACTTTTCGTCTAGGACATCCACCTTTAATGACTCCAAATTAAATATTTTGACATATGACCTGAGATTTTCTTGTGGTCCCTGTTTCACATTCAAAAGGTGATAGCTCGACTTTCTATAGGTTCGAGCCCCTATGAAGTGGGATACAAAGGAAATGGAAAGCTCTTTGAAGGAAGAGATTGAGGCTAGGGGGAGCCTGTTAAACCATGCCAAGGCTGAACCCTTCAAAGTGATGGCAAAGGCTCGACAACGTACAGGGCCCTAGTACCCATGCAATTCCATCTGGTTCTTATAAGTATTGAAGTGGTCCAAGAGGTCTCTGGTTCCATCAAAGGACTCTATCTGCGGCATCCTGAACTTTGGTGGGAGGGGAAAATGCAACACCCCAGGTGTGAATGGAGATTCAGTCTACTACACCAAGGCGTCCATTATAACTGAAGGTTTACTTTTGATCGCTTCCTTCATGTGGTTGAGCTCCTGTTGGATGCCCTTGAAGCATTGCTCCCAATATTGCTTCCTTCTCTCCTGCTAATAAGGGAAGACATCATTCTTTTTGCCTTCATAGTTTTGACTTTGTACTTTCTCATTGTGACTATTCCTAGGGGGTAGTTGGGGAACCTGTCCCAAGGTCTGGCTATTCTCCCCTTCTTCGTTGTCTTCTCTAAGTGGATCAAGGTGTTGTTGATCCATGTAATAAGGACTGTTTTGATCTTTTTGGGCTGGACGTGCCTCTTGTGGATGCTGTAAGAGCTTCAAGAGCTCCTCATTTTGCTTTATCAAGCGCTGATTGACGAGGCGAAGGGCCTCCATCTCTTTATTTATGGAGGAATTCCCCATGGGAGGATCAGTTTCTAGGACGTTCTCGGGCTGTGTGCCATTGGTGGCTCCTTGTTGGTCCTGCATCCAAGATGGGTTTGTTTGACTTCTGCTCATGTTTCGTGTTGACACCATCATTCATTGAAAGATCAGCTTATTTGTAACAGGAACAGTCGTTCCCACAGAGTGCGTGGGACCAACGGTGAAGTTAGGCTGCCAACTTCGTAATGGCAGTGATGAAGTGTTTCTTAAGGGATAGGAGAATTTGTACAGTAGGAATATAGTGGTTCACCGGTTTTGAAGCTCGGCTAATCCACTATTAAATGGAGGCTCTTGCTCATTTTCTTCTCTATTGATTATTTGAATGTAATACAAGACAGTGCATAATCTAATTAAGGTTCTTTTTTGCTCTCTCTCTCTCTCGATGAGGCATTACATAGTATTTATAAGACTGCCTCCTATTCTGTGGGATTTTAGCCGAGATCTTTGCCCATTATTCATGAGATTCTCCTTAATTTTAGGAGAGAATCTTGGTTGATAGAGAGTTTTAAACATGAAGCCCAATTTTCTCAGTTATCCAACTATTTTCTGGTCGATCCTGCTACGATCTCCCCAATGAGAGCTCTACCCCTAGTTTTTTGAGTTTTTCATCTCTTTTCTAACTTCTTGACTTGACCTCCTAACCTGAACTTACAGTTGGGGCTTGTTTGAGGTATCATCATTGTCCAAATATTTTCTTTTTCAACGAATTAAAATCTCATTTAGTCTGCCATAGAGCATTGGTTATATACAAAAGTAAACTTAAAGAGATCAAAATTTATTAAAAAATTAATAACATCAAACCTATATTATAACTTTAATTAGTCTGCTCAAAACTATCAAAACTAACAAAAATACGTTATGGCTCAAACTCCAACACCCGGGACTTTCATTCTATCGTCGGCGACTCTGAGATCGGTCATTAGCTTCTGACGGAAACCCTCGATTCCCTCGTTATCAGAAACACCACCGTTTGGGTTTAATGGAGATTTATTCGGGCCCTTTGAAGGGTTAGAAGATCTGGGTCTGATCAGATCCTTTTTGCGTCGGGTTCTTCGGTTGAAGCTGTCGGAATCGGTGGCTTCAGAAGCTGAGGATCTGCTATGATCGGTGGAGGTATCGCCGGTGGCTATAGAGCTGTTGTCAGATTCATGCATTGGAGGAGGAATCTTTGGTTGCCCCATTTCAAACGAGGCAAGGTGAAGTTGTGAAGATTTCTTGTTGATCTATCTGGTGGCACATCCATCAAATTGAGAGTTTCGTCTTCGGTGGGTTGAATTTCAATGGGTGCGACAGTGGGCTTTTGTGTTGTTTGCGAACGAGATGGGTTGAGGGTTTTCGGGAGGTGGGGTGGTGAGAGAGAGCTGTGGGGGTCTTAAAGTTGCCGGCTAGCACGTGTATATATATATATATATATATATATATATATAATATAGGATGTCAGATTTTTTTTTCCCAAATATTTTCTCTCTTAAAAATATTATATCACCCAATTTATCACAAATATAATTATTTAATATTTAATTAATTTATAATTTAATATAATTTTTATTTCAAATATTATCCAAATAAGATAATATCCACGTATTCAAAAAAGGAGCTCAAAATTTTTATGTTTTGTTCTGCCTTTGAACATGAGTTATAAATAGTATATATGACAGGGAAAGGCTTAACATTCGGTTGGCCTACTGGTATTTGTTTCATAATTAAATGATTATTTTGTTTTTTTTTTTCGTGACTGAATTTGGATTCCAGAAAATCAATTTACGTATCACAATTGATTCAATTTAATTCTTTTGCCTAAAAATATATTTACTTAGGATATACATATTTGAATATGTGTATGTACATACTGTGCTTGTTTTAGTTGTACCATGTGTCTTGCTTCAAACATTGGTACCTTTCACTCAATAGTGATGTATAGAAAAAAATACTTTTTCCATTTTTTGGACGATCAATAATCAAAATTATCTTTTGAAATATGTACTATACATTTTTTAAATGGAAATACTTACTTATTGGTGTTACTTTTATCTTAAAAGAGATAGATAAAGAAAAAGTTTTTAAAGATCATAATCCAACTGTAATCCTACAGTGTATATGTAAATATATATCAACAATGGTGCGATAATAGTTTTAGTAATTTCATGAATCAAGTTTAAAATTTTAGATATTCATATATTTATAAGTGGTTGAAATTATGTTGGTATATACACAAAGTTAACAATTCAAAATTAGAATTATCTCTTTCCTTTTGTTCAACATGGAAATCATCTATTGTGCTAAAAAAAATAGTAAAATATAATTTTGGAGCTTTTTTTGCTGAGACCCAAACATGCATATCATATCATTTAATAATATTGTGGGATAATGTGTTATTTGTTAATATTTGCATGGGGGGTTAAAATTATGATAACTAAATGCTGAGAAGTTAAATATGCTTTTAGTTAATGAATTTTATTATTGAATTATGAGATGGTAGGATGTATAGTAGAGATTTTGGAAGTGTTAGAAAATTGAGTTTGATGGTGCTTGAAATCGCTTTACCCAGTGCAGAACAACTACAGTGTGAGGTCCAGTGGGGCTTTATGAATATTTGGGTTAATAAGGAGGTAGATGCTAATGCTGGATCTAAGAACAAAATATAAGTGGTTCATCTTAGTCGAACCAAGGATATATCCACTGTAATAGAGGCTTTTGCTCCTTAATTAGGGGTTGTATTGCTTGAAGAATAAGACGGTAGTACAATGGGTTTCTAAGCCTTTTTGCACCGTATATTCTGAATAAAATTATGGAACTCTCTTCTTCTATTTATACATGTGGTCATTTAGGGTTTTCTACGATTCTTTTTTTTTCTTTGATGATTCTGTGGTCCCCTTTTCATTTGTCCTGTAGCGGGATCTATCACCCTTATGCATTTTGCGCCCACAATCCTCAAAACGGAATGTATACAAATATTCCCTTTACAAGGGAATATTTGTTTGTTAGGATCAACATAAGTTGTGCCCCTATCCCCCTAGACGTATGGCACAACAGGAGTTGCTTGGGATTTATTCTGTACCGAGCTCCTAGTTCTCGAGCTAGTCTACTCTGCCATGCTTGAGACAACTGAGCAATCATATATCTAGTTGGATGGTATTGGACATCTTGCCTTGAGTTGTGGTCCACTTTCATGACGAAGAGATCATGCTAGGTGGGCCATTAGGTTGCCATGTAAAAGGGGGCTCATCAAATGTTTTGGGCTTTGAAGGGGCGGCCCAAGCTTAAATCTATCATTATTAGTTGCCCCCCCAGCCCCAGGTCATGAAGGTGGCTTTCCAGCTCTAACTAGGGGTTAAATATGTCTTTTCTATGATCATGACTACCTCGATGGGTGACAATTTTTCATGATTGATGGCATTGCCCCAGGGACGTGTTCAGTTAACCTATGCCGTCTTTGATGGGATAGTGATTCGACCTGTATGGTGACCTGCTTTACATCATAGACCCAAGCATAAGTAATCGAATTGTAGTTTTTTCGGTTTAAGTCCGAGGTTGATCCCACGAAGAGTTTTAATAACTGGGATTGAAGATAAGAATAGAGAAATTATTATTAAAGTAGTGTAACATGAGATAACTTGTGATATGTGACTTGATCTGAAATGTGTACACCCAAGTGTAGGCAGTCAAGCTGTAGTAATAATTTGGTTAAGTTCGGAGTGGAATCCACAGAGAACTATGATTGGTGTTTTGAAGTGAGAAGTAGTAGAGACCAAGTAATTGGAAATCTTGAGAGTTTGAAGTTACGGGATTTCTTTGAATAGAATAGAAAATTCTCTCCAATAGTTTTCTAGACAAAATATAAGATAAGTTCAAATGTAAAACAATCACTCTTTAGCTTAAGGATCAGAACATGTATTTAGTCATCTGATTTATTATACTTGTGTTTTATAACTCAATTAACTCCCGTGTCAACTGCAAGTAAATTAGAAAGTAAAGATGGACTATGAGAATTAAGCACATGATTCCGATGCCTTTCTAGAAGTTGAAAAAAATTGTCTGTGCCAAGATTTAACCCATCTACAAACAAGCAAGTGTTTCTACAAGGCATCCAACCATGACATTAATGTTCCATTCTTTAGATAAAGTTCAATAATAGTGAAGATTAAAATATTCTCATTAAGATCTAGCTGGGGTATTTGCTTTGAACCAACGGGTCTTTCCATGCAAGAGTCATTCGTGATATAGAAAGAACTCATGGTTATACAAAGTACCTTAGCTTTGCTAGATACATTCAATCATTAAGTGAACAAGTGAAATATAAAGCATTAAAACATAAAGGGATTGCACAAATATAACTTCCGGATAATTTCTACATATTCATCACCTCTTACTAAAGAGTGAATGAGGAACTACTCACTCTTCATGGATTGGATAAAGCTAGAAAAGTGAGTGATGCTCATCCCTCCAAGTAGAGAACTTATAAAGTAAAGTACAATAAGCGAGGAGCCGTTCTTCGACGAAGAATGAGTGAATCATGTTCCACCCTTCACGACTTTGGTAAATCTCTAGAAAAGTGGAAGAGTTTCACTCTTCTAAGAAGAAAGGAAGTTCAAGCAATGGAAGTGAAATAAAAGAACATTTAAAGTAAAAGAAAGCTAGTTACTCTTGGAGGGTGACTTCCTCAACCAAAAGATGGAGAGTTGTTTCCTCAACCAACAAGTGGACGGTTGCTTCCTCAACCAACAAATGGAAGGTTTTTTCCTCAACCAAGAAATGTAACACAAGCAAATATAACATACATCTAAGATTAATCAAAATGAGTGGGAGTCTAAACCTCCATACAAAATCCTTACTAGTTCTTGGTGTAGTCTAAGCCTGCAAACCAAGCTCTAGCCCCCTACTTTTACAAGAGAAAGATTACCCCATGAAGTTCCCTTAATGGGAGTATTTATAGGCAGGGAAGGGGAGGGGGGAGATAAGAGAGGATGAGTGAATAGTGTATGTCACCCATGAAAATCAACTACTCTGTAGGCAGTCTATGGAGGACGTTCGAACGTGAATCGACGTTCGGACGTTGTCTTCTGGTTTGGCTTTTATGGACTTTCGAACGTTGTCTGACATTTGAACATGTCTTCTATTTTTTCTTTAGGGGCGTTCAAATGCCAAATGAGATGTGACCACATCACTCAAGTGGTCTTGGTCTTCTGTGGAAACCTACTTCCACACTCCATGCAGGACTTGGAGTTTTGCACTCATCACTCTGGTCTTCAGTTAAATCATGTGGACGTTCGAACGGTAGTTGGCGTTTGATCATGGTACTCAAGTACTTCAGGGCCTGCCTTCTTGACTGCAACACGCCAGGTCTCGGCAGTCTGGTCTCCTCATAGTTCAAGTGGACGTTCGAACATGAGTTGTCGTTCGAACGTGCTTGCTTTGTTCCAACCTTCTCCAATTTTGTTTCCTAATGCACTGGTGTCACACTCAAGTGTGATATTTGTTGTTCTTGAGCTTTTGTTCACTTTAGGTCCTAAAATGTCATCACTTAAACTCCATCAAAACACAATTAGTCCCAAAAAAGCATAGGAAAATGCTAACTTTAAGCACTAATCACACCCCCCCAACCTAAATATTGCTAGTCTCTAGTAATACAACAACATTGTAATTTAAATCTATTTCTAATGCCTTTTTCGTAGGTCATCTAGTTGCATTTAACATATGTAACAAGCCATTGAATCACTAGGTTTACCCTATTGGACGAGTGTTATCTTGTGAGAGTTTTCAGTGAAGCTACCTAGAAACTTTAGTCTAACAAATGTGTATTTGAGGTTGCTAGTTGAAATAAGTTAACATTGTGGTCGTTGAGACACCCAACCCTTAATTTCAACTTACATCCTATATATTCCTCGTTGATATATATTTATTCTATGCAAAAATTAGCATCATCACATTGGCATTTGGGATTCCCCGAGTAGTAGGAATGGTCATTCTAGAGACAAGAGTTGTTATATAACAAACATTCTGTTTTACCACCTTCCATGGATAGCTTTGATTTCACAAACCTTTCTCAGAATGCTCTCAAAAAAAAATATTCACTCTGATTATGGTAACTTGTTTCTCACAGGGCATGTAATTAGAAGATGACCAATCGAAAAATCACATGCGTAATTAGTAGAGTGAATTTTTAAGGGAATAAACTAATCATGTTTTGGCATAATCTCATGGAGAAATATTGATGTAGATAAAAAAATGTTATTTAGCATATCCCACGTGTAGTCGATGACTCACACATACATCAGACTTGAGATCAATTAGGGCTTTTTGTAGGTTGTAATGTCGCCAGAGGTCAGTGGCTAACAAAATGACATTAATGGTATTTGA